AGATGTCACACAAAAGTCAAAGGGTAGCAGGTGAGTCCCGGAGGACAGCCCAGTTCCTGCTGTCCAGGGCCTTGAGATCATCAGCACACCAGTCTCTCTGAACCTATCAGTCATATGGAGAGCTTTGTCTAAGCACATCAGACCTGGCTGAGTACTCATGCCCAAGTTGCCTCTCTCCTCAGTGTCCTGGCCCAGAGTCAGGGCAGCAAGGCAGGAAAAGAGCTCCAAAGACAGTGGAGCCCAGAGCTGAGTATCTTGGCCCATCTCCTGCTTGGGCACTCAGACGGAGACAAAAGTGGGCTTCTGCAGGGGCCTAGCTGCATCCCGTATGGGTGGCCCAACCTCTTCTGAGCAGGCCTCCTTTCAGCTGGCCTGAATACGGAGACATGCCCAGACTTCCGGCTGATCAAAGGGACCTGGGATTCAGCAGAGCCGAACGGCTGCCAACGTGCTGCCTTGATGTGGAGTGCCCGCAGGCAGGGGTTTGGGGCTGGCAGGGGTGAGCACAGGTAGGACCACCCTTGAGCAGACTGTGCCAGTACTGTCTCCAGCCAGCACCCTGTGCCCACCCCTGCAGCCCCCAAGTCCTAGAAGCAAGAACAGCTCTGGATCTCAGACTTGAGGTTTAGTACCTCTGTACCAGCCACGTGATCCAGGACTGGGAGGACTTTGTAAGGACTTATTTAGTGTCTGAGTAAAGGGGAAACAGCACCCTACGTCCTAGAACCCACATAGGGGTGATCTCTCTTGGTCTGAGCCCTGTGTGAAACCCCAGATGTCATCTCGACCTAGTGCAGTAACTTCCCCCAGACAAGGAGAGAAGAAACAGGAGCATTGCAGTGCTCTGGGCAGCAAAAGGTGAGGGGGGGCGGGGCATCTCTCCTAGCTCTGCAGATCCACTCAGGTTCCTGCTTCCTTCTGGCAGGGACTCTGATGCCAATGGCCGAAATATGTCTAGGGAGGTGGCTGTCTGGATCTCCTGAGCTGCACCATGCTTCCAGTCGCTCCTGGAGGCCACAATTCTCTCACCAGACCCCTGACCGCATCTGTTACTTTCCCCACCCTGTTACCCAGGGTGGGGTCCCTACAGAGATGTGGGCCCCCTAGGTTTTCCATATTCTCCAGGTACTGTACCACCTCCTAAGAGGTCAAAGTGCCATCACCCGTCACCTGCTCCCAGTTCATGCCTCTACCCCTGCTGCCTGCTGGCTCCACTTTGCACCTGTTAACAGATGGTGGCTTTGACTGCTGTGTCTTTGGAAGTTGCTTTTGTAGCCACTGAAAGAAGAACACTGATGTGGGAGTGATTTCTTATTAATAAAGAAACTGCCTAGGCCCATTTGATAGGCCAACCCTTAGGTAGGCAGAGAAAACAGAACAGGATGCTGGGAAAAAGAAGCTTAGTTGAGGAGTCGCCATGATTCTCCCGCTCCAGACAGACACAGGTTAAGATCCTCCCTGGTAAGCCAGCTCGTGGGCTACACAGAATATTAGAAATGGGTTAGAACAATATGCAAGAGCTAGCCAATAAGAAGCTAGAACTAGCCGGGCCAGGCAGTGTTTGAAAGAATACAGTTTCCGTGTAATTATTTCGGGGCATAAGCTAGCCATGCGGGCGGCCGGGTGCCGGGGACGCAGCCCTGCCACCACTCCTATTTCAACAGAACACAAAGCCAAAGAGAAGATGAAACATGTTGGTTCAACCAACTGCGGGAGGCAGTGCCAAATCACAGGGAAAATGTGGAGGCCAGTAGGCCTGCTAGGAACCAGCAGACCGCCAATTAGTCCCGATGTCCCGCTCAATACTCCCGCCCCCAGATCCCTTCAGGACTCTCATGGAAGCCAGGAGCTTGGGAACAAGGACTCTGTTGCTCCTCTCTCCTCAGCTCCACGCTCTGTGACAATAGAAATACAGGTCCTGGCTTCATCCGGCTTGGAGGAATGCAGTTTCCCCCTTTTAATTTGCTTCCCACCCTTTCATTTCTGCTTTCTGTCTCACATCCATACCATACTTTGGGCAGGCAAGGACCCAAGGTATATAGTGGCCTCAGCACCCAACCTTCCAAAATCTCACTGTAACCCCATTCCCAACTGCCACAGGAGGTAGCTCCGACCAAGAGAAAACCTGTATTTGGCATGCAATGCCCTAAGGGTACTTTTGCCAAGCTATACCATGGCCTAGCTAAGGGACAGCTAAGTCGTTGCCTGTGTTGTGGTATATGTAACTGCATCTCTGCAGCCAGGAGCCCAGGGGCAAGTAAGGCAGGGTCTGGTGTGTGCAGCTCTCATTTCAGAAATAATGAGGTTCCAGAGGCCACTGCTTTAGGATGCAAGAGTTTTCCCAGCAACCGTTACTCTAAATTGTAACCACTCCTCCTTGGAAGGTTGCGGGGCATCAAAGAAGGAGGCTGCATGGGTGAGGACAGCTGAACAGAAGAGGCATTGGGCAGGGCAGGAGCAGGCAGCATCTTCTGTGTTCCTCCCAAGGCCTTGTCACTTTGATGGAAGCTGGGCAGCTTCAGCAGAGCCCCCTCTGCCATGAAGTCCCGTCAACTCCTGGTGCCCGGACAACCACTCCCTGCTCAGCCTCCTTTTTTTTTTTTAATCACCAAGGCTCTGACAGGTCCTGACTACCTAAAGCTAAGAAGGCTAGATTGCCTATGTCCCTCCCTGCCCCTTGGCTTAAACTCTGTCCTGGAAATGGGCTGAGAAGCTAACAGACCCTCCCAGAATCTCCCAGAAAGGATGGAGGACCTCTGTGAACTCTGAAGACAGCACCCAATGGGGCAGCTTGCTTCCTGCACATTCTGTATACCCCAAATATCATGGTAAGAACTTCTGCCACCCCCAGAGGAGAAGGATGCTATGCTGTGGGTTGGGTCTACTAAAGCAGCTGGTAAGTAGTGGGTCCCATTGGGTACCAGGTCTGTTTCCTTTTATCCAAGGCTGTGACAAGTGAGTTATCTCAGACACCACCTAAGTAGGTAGCTTCCTGCCACGTTTTAGTCAAGTGTCCTGATCAGCAAAAGTAGGAATAGAAGCTTAACTTTGGTGTGGCATACACAACCAAGGGCCCCTCCCTGGGAGCAACAAGGCCACTGCCATTCCAGGTACCCTACCCTGCAAGGGAGGGAGGCTGCTGGGGACCTGCCAGCCCTTACATGCTGCCCTCTGGCTTCCTCAGGGAGGAGCATCCCTCTGGAGAAAGGTCTTGGCTGTCAGTACTGCAAGCTGAGGGAAGGTGCTATACTACACTTTTGCAGGTAGAATGATAAGGATGTCCCTAGAAGAGAGGGGTCACCCAATACAGGGCACCAGCTGAGTCAGGATCACATGCAATGGTGACCGGCGACAGGTCACCCAGGGGCCTGTATTGAGCCTCAGCCAGGTTTAATCCTGAGCCAATTCCCAGGCCCACCAAGGAGGCTACCCCTTCATCCGCAGGCATGTGGTGGAAGGCCAGACCACATGGAGACCACATAAAGCAAGAAGGAGCCTGGGTCAGATACAAGTGGCCTATTAAAGGTGGTAGGGGACCCAAGCAGGCCTTGGCATGCGGTGTGCAGGGGTCGGTGAGACAGGAGAGGTGTTCCAGTGCAGGGGTGGGAGGAGATCTGCTCTCTTGGACTAGGTCTCCATTGCTGCTCTCAAGCAACGACTATATGCATAGATGATGGGGTAACTTCAGTAGGAGTTAGGGCAGGAAACCCAGTCTCCTGAAATCGACAGACCAACAGTCTAGGAACCCTGATGGAAGGGACATTTTGAGGCATGGGTGTTTAGGGGTGTTGTCACAAAACGCATAGGTACTGGCGCAGGTGAATCCAAGCGCCCGCACTCTTTTGTCACATAGGGGTTATGTTACAACTCTTAACCAAGTGAGCCACTTCATTTGCTTTCTTCCCATTCTCAGATTAGGTCTCTGGGTTCATAGTCTGACCTCAGTTATGACGTCCTCTGGGCCCTTTACCCACAGGGGAGAGGGGAGAGAGGGAGGAACAGTGCCACCAGCAGCAGCCCAGCAAAAAAACTCTGAACCCAGAACCAGCAGCCCCCAGGTGGGATGCCAGGTACCCTCCCATCCTCCCCCGTCATCCCTGAAGCTCTACTCAGCAGCTGACAGTTCACCACAATATGTCTGGGGTTGAATTGCCCTACATAGTCTCCTCACTCCACTCCTCATTCCAGAGGTCACCTGCCACCCTGCATCCAAGCCCACAGACCTGCCTCTGCCCCGTTGCTTTTGTCGCCCGAGCACCCAAGGAGTCACGAAGAGCAGACCGAAACACCCGCTGACAATCTGCAACAATTAAGTCATCTGAGCTGGTGAAGGCTAGTTTTTTTGGCCAGTTTCCCGCGTTCAGCCCCCTCACCCTCCTCCAAAACATGTCAGATGAGAACTGGAGCAGTGCCGGAGCGGCCAGAAAGGGCGTAGGGAGGTAGGCGTTGTTGTGGGGGTGCAGGTAGGCAAGGAAGCAAGGGACCAGGACAGAGAGGTGGAAGCGATGAGAGAGAAAGCCACGGACAGTGAAGGATGGAGAGGAGCAAAGGGGTGCTGAATTCGGCAAGGGGCGGGGAAGCCCCTGATTGGCCTTAGGAGGACGTGATGTCACGTCCGGCGAGGGAAGCCCTGCCTCAGCGGTCCCCCCCCGCCGCGCCCCCGCCCCCACAGGTGGTGCCTCCGCCCTTAGTGTTGGGCTTGGGGGGGCACCTTTGGGGACCCCGGACTCAGTTTTGCGTTACCGGCAACCCCCCCGCTCCCGTTCCCACCAATCAACCGAGCGCATCGCATGGACTGGAAGGGCCTGCATGCCACCCCTCCCTAGAGCGAAGGAGCGCCCGGTGCGCCCCGATCGTGCCCCCAGCCGCGCCCCGCCCCGCCCCGCCCCGCCCGGGCGCTCCCCTCTTCCCGCCCGCGCTCCCCGCCCCTCCCTGCCCCTCTCCGCGGCCGCCGTGGGGCCGGGCGGGCGGCGGGGGAGGCGCCGAGCCGGGGCTGCGCGTTCGCTCGCCGCGCTCTGGGCGGCCCGACTGAGCGGCTGGACCTCGCGCCTCGCGCCCCGCGCCGCAGTCGCTGCCGGCTTTTGTTGTCTCCGCCTCCTCGGCAGCCGCCGCCGCCGCCTCTGGACCACGAGCCGCCGCGCGCGCCGGGACCTTGGCTCTGCCCTTCGCAGACTGGGCTGAGCAGAGCCGGCTGGGAGCAAGGGAGGCGCGCGCGGACGGCCAGGGAGTCCCGGGCCCCCCGCCATGGAGCTCCGGGCCCGAGGCTGGTGGCTGCTGTGCGCGATCGCCGCGCTGGTCGTCTGCGCCCGCGGGGACCCCGCCAGCAAGAGCCGGAGCTGCAGTGAAGTCCGCCAGATCTACGGGGCCAAGGGCTTTAGCTTGAGCGACGTGCCCCAGGCAGAGATCTCGGGTGAGTAAGGGCGCGGTGGCGTCTTGGGGCTCCGGACCCCAACACTCAGGAGGAGATCTACTCTGGGCCCCTGGACCCGTGCGCTGCAGCTAGCCCCGGGCGCCAGAACCCGCCACCCAGACTTGGAGTGGCCTCTTGCGCCTCTGCTGCTCTGAACCCCGCGGCCCTCGCCTCTTGAGCTCCGATCCGCTCTGTTGCTTCCCAGTTCCCAGTCGCTACGCGCTGGAGCCCCTTCCCCGTAGCGCTGTTCTGGCCCGGCTAGGGACGAGTGGACCCCAGCGCGGTGCACTCTCTTCGGGTCAGGGTTGGAGCTGGGCGTCTTCAGCCCCTGGCTTGGCCCAGTGTGCCGGCGGGGCGACAATCCCAGCTCCGGGGGCAGCGTGCCTGCCGCCCTTGTGGTGGAGCAAGCCGTAACTGTGGGGCGGTCTGTCGGGGCACAGCTCCCGGTGGTAGCCGGCTAGGAACTTCTCTATGCGGACCTCTCCCAGAGGCGTCCAGATTCTACTTAGGAATTCCCGCGGGTCCACAGCAGGAGCAGCCTAAGTGGAATTTCTGGGAGGAGATCCTATCTTTCAAGCCTGAATTCCAAGGAAATGTGAGCCCACTGTGGGCTTCAGGCGACCCCAGGGCTCGCTGTGATTCCTACCCAGGAACTTGTGCCCGCCAGCGCCCCGGCCCTAGCGCACTCGTGGTCGGGCCGGGTACTTGGGGCCGCCTGGAGCTGGGAGCCCAGCTGCAGGTGGTCGGCGTCTTGGATCCCGCCCAGGGGCCTTGTCATCTCTTTGTAAGAAGAGCGGCCCTCCTGGCGGCGGCCTCGGCCCTGCAGCTGCTGAGAGCAGCTCTTCCCCTCCCTTCCCTTCCCTTCTCTTCCCTGCTGCCTCAGGAGCTCTGGGAACCGAATCTTTATGAGCTTGGAGCGCCCGATGCAGTGTCCTAAGGACCTCCCCAGCCCCAGGCTTCACCCTTAAATGTGTGTGGAGCTTCCCGGGATGGGTGCAACATCGGGACTTTGATGAGCAGGGAAATCCTGCTGTAGGGTTCTTTTGAAACTGAAGGGGCTTAAAGGCTAGCGGCCAAACTCAAGTGGTACCATAGGCATTCTGAACGAGGAAAATCGGAGTGTCAATCAGAGAGGGTAGCCTGTGGCCTTACCTTGCTTGGGAGTGGTAGTAACTTAGAGCCAGGCCCTGGGGAGAGACAGAACCCACCGATACCTTGCTTGGCCTGAGTCTCTTGGCTATCTCGCCCTCAAACACCCCCAGTGCAGGCCTTTCTATGCCTCTCTCTGCAGACAGCCCTGCCATGTCAAGGCCACACCTCCTGCACTTCTCTGGGCACTGTCCACCTGGGTGCCTGGCAGCAAAAGGTGCTAGTATAATTTCGTTGACGCCCAGCTCACTTTCTCCCCTCCTCCAAACACACATAAATAGGAACTTTTACCAGGGCATCCCTGCCTATCTCTGATCCCTGCCAGCCACCAACTCCTCACACACAGCAGTCTGACACCTTCCAGCCTACAGTTCCCCATGGCATGGCCAGGCCCACCCATCTTAATGCCTTCTTGAGGACCTTCTAGAGCATGTACCTAACCCCAGCTACTGTGCCCTTGTAGACAGGGACTGGCAGTGTGGGCAGTGACAGGGCACTGAGAGGGCAAAATAAAGAGGCAGAGGTATGGCCCTTCCAGAGAGTCTGGGTCTTACTACCCTGGGGTTGGGGAATGTGGGGATTAGGAACTCAAAACAAGCAAAATGTGTTGATGTCTGTCTCCACTGTGGGTGCTGGCCATCCAACTAGCGTGTACGGTTACCCTGCAGAATTACAGCAGTCGTGCCAGTTGGGGCCCAGTGTTTGTTGAGGGTCACCCCACTTATTGACATGCAAGGCTGGGGACTGTGTTCTTCCATCATCCCTAATGATGCTCCTTCAAACTGGTGCCACACTTCCCTGGGACCCCATGGGCCGTACCTCACAACCCACAGAATGGGAGAGGGAGTACCCACAAGCCCCAGGGCCCTGGAGTGAGTATTAGCACATGGACTGAGAGAAGCAGGGTGGCCTTCAGGATAGCGGGAGCCCAAGGGGCAGCCAAGCTCAGGGCCCTGTCTGGTTCTGTACCACCAGACCTGGACGCCAGGGACCAGGCGCCCTCTGGTGGCCCCTGGTGGCACAGTCCTCCCCAGAGCTCTAAATCCTCTGTGAGCCCTTTCCTGCAGTCCCCAGTCTAGACTTCCAAAGAGCATGCTCCTCTAAGGAGCATGGTAATCCCCCAGGAGATAGATACCTGCTGAGGTTCTACTGGGGTCAGTGGGTAGTTAGGAGAGGAGAGGAAGAGTAGTCCCTGGGCGCATGGGTGTCCTTTCCTGCCCCTGTTTTCGGGACCAGAAATAGCAGTGGATAACAGGAGATTTCACTCTTATCAAACAGCACCCTATCAGAGGGAATGGTCCCCAGTTAAGGAACTGTTTAGTTTTCTGGGTGGCCTGGCCAGGGAGCAGCGATGACAGCTGTCCCATTCCATGGATGAGATGCAGCCAGAGGAGACAGCCACTATGGTGGTGTCCTCCCTCTATGCCAGGGCCCTGCAGGGGAGCGAGGTCTGGATGAAGTTGCCAGGAGCCCATTGCCGAGTCACAGCCGTGGTCAAGCAAGAATCTCTTGGCTGGCAGGACCGTTCTGGGGCATGAGTATTACCAAGTGTGCCCCTTAGGGTTAGTATTATACCAGGGCATCCACCTTGGCTTCTAGGGTCAGGGACCACCCTTACCTGGTCTCTGTTGTCACCACAAAGCCCATCCAGGCCACTGGCCACAAGTAGATTCTCAGTGAACAACCACAGACAGACAAATGCTTCTCCATGCTGAACTGCGGCACGGGCATACAGAGAAGGCCACAGCAGAGCACGCATGGCCTTCCTTAAGGTCTCCAGTCTGGGCAGAAGTGGGAGTTGGGCATCAGCAGAACTGCCAAGCTTTTCCTATGCCCCAAAATCACAGTGTGCCTGCTTGCCTTCCTGCCAGCAGGAGTGGGCACCTCACACCCGATACACACTGGGTATCCTCTAAACACCCAACAACACTTAGTTCTCTGCGTGGGCTCTGTACAGCAGCAGCTGAGAATTTGAGGTCCTTGTATCTGATGACCCTTTCCACCTCTTAGGAGTTGTCTGGCTTTCTCTGGAACCCAACAGAATCTCTCCCTCACTTGAGGTCTGTGACTAAGAAGTCACTGGTACACTCCCCACTCTGGACCAGAAGTTTCTGTGTGCCCTATTCTGCCCAGGGAGGGACACCCCCCTTTGCGGCTCAGCACGAACCCCAAAGTGGTCCACATCCCCGAATATGCTGCTAGGAGCTTGGCTTTCATCATCCCCAGCACCGCGGCCGGGCTTCTGTGTGCCCAGGGGAGCCATGATCCAGCAGGGCCGTGTGCGTGATGCAATGGCCTGGGTCCTTGCTGTAGTGCCGAGGCTCCCACACTGGACAGGCCGTCCTGCTTCTCCATGGAAACACCGTCTCCTGGTCTCCAGGGTCTCTGTAGAGTCAGCACACACTGCGCAGGTGAGGGCGTCCATCGGCTCAGAGTGCTCATTGTGAGCTAGGCTCCACAGATGTATTTTCATGGCCGTTTCATGAACACTTCATGAGTGGGTCCATGTGAACCACTGGAAAGAACGGGACATCCAGGCCAGAGAGGCCACATTACTTTCTTAGGGCGCTGCCTGGCTGATCCCAAAGTCTACTGGCAGCTATACCTCAGAAAAACCGGAGCAGACCTCCTCTGCCTGGGCTCTGTGTTCTGGGAGTCCCATGCTCGAGAGACCTGGAGTAGAATTTCGCGATGCAAGCCTGGTGGACCTCTCATATGCTTTCTGTACTCGGATTCTCTGCCTTTAGCTCCTTCTTAGGGTCTAGGAATTCTTTTAAATGACCAGAGCAGCTTCCCAGGCATGTGACACAGGAGGCCCCAGAGTATGCACAGAGGTACCCTGGCTGTGCTTCTTGTCAGCCAAGGACAAACCTCCCTTCCCCCCGATTGTCAACAACTGAGAGAGGGAAGTCTCCCAGTTGGGGCAACAGGACCAAGTCCCAAAATAATAGCAGAAAGACAGATGCCCTGGACACAGGGCAAGCCAAGGAATATGGCAAGTGAGTCTACCAATGATAGTGGCCCTGGGCTACTGCTAGTGCAAGCCTCTAGTGACAGGTCTGCCCTGACGCTGGAACCCCCAGCCCACCCTCAAAGCATTAAGGATATACTGGCATGCATGCCCAGCAGCAGGGCTGAGCTTTAGAAGCAAGTAGGTTTAGTCACCGTATGAACACAGCTTCTCTTACACCATGGTTCCAGTAATATAGCTGTCGTCTGGGGAGTAAGAGATGGGTAGGGAAAGGTGGACTCTTCCTTCAGCCAGACTGTCCTCTTCAGGCTGGATCCAGAGTGGTTTGGGGGTCTTTCCTATGTCAAAAGCTAGACTGAGCCCCGCCCCCAAGTTAGAGTCTCTCTCCAGTCCTGACCTAACCTGGCTATGGACCCAGTCATCTGGTGCAGGATGCTCTTCAACTTTAGTGACCCGCAAGTTGATGCCTCTACCCCAAGCCCAAGTGCCTCACTGATGTCCTGCCGGCAGCCTTCCCTGGTAGCATTTGAGAGGCCTGGGCGGGCACCTGTGCTACTTGAAGTCTCCTGTGTGGGAGTGTTGAGGCACTGTTCCCTAGGTTGGGTTGATATGGTCCTCCCTCCCTTGGGCTTAACTCTACCTATGCCCTTACCCCACGAAGAGGCTGCTGTTGCAGGTGAGAGCGCAGGGCGACCAGGGGTGAGCTGAGGGTGCCTGGACCTCTTAGTTCTTCTCCATCATCATCACCTACGTCAGGGAAAATCTGGAGTGTGAAAGGAGCCTAGTGCTACCCATTGATGACCCCCTTAGACACCAACCAGCCTCACCACCTCCTCTGCCTATGCCTTCAGCGTTATCACCCGCTGCCTGCTCATTCCTC